GCTAGTTTTCGTTTGGGGCATCAGCAGCTGCAAATACACATGTGTTGAATCTCAGCAAAATGACAGGAAACTGAGCAGATTACGGCGAAAAGTTATTGCTTCTCATTTATATTACGTACCTATCAAATGTTATATGTCACTCTGACAGAGGTTGTCGGTCGGAGGCATTTGTCATATCTCGCTCTTCTGTAGGTGATTTGTAATGGTTTGACTTCCTCCCATCGAAGGCAAGCTCAATAGTTTGGAAGTATATTGCAATTCAATTGCATTGCGATGAAGTCTGATATCTTAGAAGATATGTTGGGTAACGTCAGTTTTGATCTTGACCAGAAAACAAACCATACAAGTGTATTAAAACATGATTGTTTCTGATATAAATGAAAGTTACTGCTTTAGAAAGGGCAATGGAGGAATTCAGCGTATTAGCTCTGCTCGACCGTTGTGGTTCCTTAGAAGCACTATGCACAATTTTCGTATGTCAGCCATCTCTCGTCGATATTTCTATTGAGTTGGAAAAGACTCAGAACTTCTTACGAGAATTAATAAGTGTGTGCCAAATGTCTGTTGTCGAACTGCTTGAACTGTAAGCTGTTGTGTTTTTTTTTTAGAATTTTAATATCTTTTCTATGAAAATTCAATTTTCTTACAGCGATCTGTTCAAATCTATGGAGGGTTGTCCTGCGCATTTTCTCCCACCACATACAGTCAGTGAAAAAGCCGAACATTATAAAATTATGGCTATCCGTAAGTTTCTGAGACACTTCCGAACTACTAATTTTTGAGCATTAAGACTTTTCCGGATTTACTTGCTTACGCGTATTCGGTTTGTATGTTCTTTGCTAGTGATGTTATATTTTTTTAGGAGCACTTGTAGCACTCTACAAGTCGCTACTGCGTGACGTCTCTGGAAGTGTAAGCATGGACATTTCATTAGCAACCGAAGGCAATAGGGAGGACAAAGTGACTCTATGTAGAATTGGTTGTGTTGCCGTCGAAAGTGTTTTGTGCCCATTGAAATCCGTAGTGCAGGCAGCGGAGGATGCACTCCTGCAGGTGATTGTTTTTCAAACTCTTATTCCGCTTTCCTTGCCAAATCCATAGCTTTTAGGTCGCTCCTGTTAATGGCAATTGTGTAGGAAAAGTTGGAGAGCATGTCTTTGCTCAATTTCGTGAGCCACACTGTGAACGCCGTAATTCTGAAAGCGT